AATCGACCATAAATTCTATTACTTTTTCCGATGATTTTAACTACAGTTGTTTCCGACAAGTTTCTTTGTAGTTTTTTTTAATCTCTTGACATAAGTTAAGTAAGTATTTAATAAATCGCTGCGGACTTTATTTTTTTTTTAAAAAAAAGAAAGAAAGAAAAAACGCAATAATTATGCTTTCTTTGACCTTAAATTTCAGTTCTCTTGTTAGATAATGTATAGGATTTTTTATTTGGTAAAAAAAAAAAAAAACACGAAAAAAAATAGTTTAAACAAACAAATTAAATATTAGGTAACTGTGTTAAAATAAAATAAGACATATCTCGGCTGATTTACAGGCAACTACTCAAGAGCAAGAGTCGGATGTGAACAGGACAAAACCCCGTCACAAAATGACCATTATCTTCATTTACAAATGTTACCGACACACGTGTTCCAGTCGAAAAATAAAATAATATTTAAAGTGTTCTATTTTTCGTCCAATAAAAATGCTTCCCTCCTAATTATACTCGCTTCGTTTTTCGAGCCTGTTAAACCATAAAAAAACGCTATAAAAGGTGTCACACGGAAGTTCAAGAGGCAGTCCACAGGTGCCCAGGGTAGAGACTTGTCACGGTCAGCAGCTGACAGCAGGGGAGCATCAACAACCATCAACATGTGTGAACTACTATGAAAGATCGACCTAGATCTGAAGCCGGCTTATGAACTATACCACAAGGTAGCTGTCCCAAACCCTCACGTTCCTGTTGCAATAAATCAAGTAAATCTATTTCTGCTGTTGTCGTATTTCTTTCTTGCAACCATATGCTTGTCTATAACAACTGTAATGACAAAAGTACACAGGTGTAGGCTTTAAGAAAGCTTTATTCAATTGAAAATACAAGGCTCACATAATGTCTTTTTATAGTACCAGTAAACAGAAATAGCTCCCTCAAAGAGAAGAGAAACAAAACAAGGGGAGACCACTCTTGATTATTCATAAAAGTAACATTCATTTAATTTAACTTATAAAGGCACGCATCAAAACAAAGACATACGACACAAGCTGAATTTAATGAACAGATGATAAATTTATTGTTAACACAAAATTAAAAATGAATTAGACAAGTTAAGTGCATTGTGTGCCAAATGATGGCCAATAACATGTATGTAAAATTATCAATGTAAATTAAATATAGCTTATTACAATAAATATTATAATGTTGCATTGTTGCATAAGGTCTTTAGAAAAGGTAACTATATAAAAACAAAATGAAGAAAGGAGAAAATATTTCTCTGAAATCTGAATAGTTTTCAAAGAAGTGCTACAATTTTCAAAGCAAATTTTATGGTAACAGTGAAGAATAGAACAAGCACACCAGTCGGAGACTTTTCCTTGTGGTGGGAGCAACATTGATGTTCCTTTCAAGTTTCAAATTCTCGTCTGGTGGTTGTCAAATTTCTTCTGTGTTGTTGTTCTCCCTTGACCAGGGTGACCTGGTTCCTACAAGCAGCTGTTCATTGACTCCGAAAATTAACTCCAAGCCCACCACATTTTATAACCTACAGATAGGCTCCAAATTCCAATAAGTGAATTTGGAGGGAAATTCTTGTTATATTAAGCGTTTGTTTGCAAGAGAAAGGAATAATGAGGATTAGAATTTGAACATTTGTTGTTAGTATATACATGGTGTCATACAGATACCACAAAATAGGTGGAATGTCAGTTCCTGGTGTATTGTCCGAATGGCACCAGGGTTAAAAATGGAAAGCCAGGAGTTGACGTATTCTTTGTGCTGGCCAAGGACTCAGGACATGGTTGGTGTATAAGTTGGTTACTCCAGAGTAGTTAGCAAAGCTATGAATCTATCTACAATGATGTGAACATGAGTAGTCAGGAGATGTCATGAATCTGACTTTGCCAAGGTGACAGTGGTGGATGTCCGAGATGTTATCCCAGAGTGGTTAGTGAAGATACAAATCTGACTATGATGATATGGGGTGTGAGTAGTCAGGAGAAGTCACGAATCTGACTTTGGCAATACTAACAGTAGTGGGCTGCTGAAGCTGGACAGCCGAGGTGGCCAGTCAGGCCTGGGAGCAGCAGTGGTCTGTGAGAACGGCCACGTTGAGAGGCAGTGATGATAGTGATGGCTGTGGCAGCAGCAGTGCTCTGCATGTTAATTGGTGGTCCACCAGGCCGCAACTGTGATTGTCATGGTGGCAGCAGCAGCTGTGCCCTGCATGACAGCCAGTTGCCTGCTGGCCCTCCACTAACTTGATTGTTCTGCTTTTTTAGCAGGTCTGGTAGTCCCCAGGAGCATCTCTTTTTCTGGTGGGAACGTTTGTGATTGGCCACTGCTAGAGCTTGTCTCATACAACGGATGTGATGTGTGTAGCCTATGCACAGAAAACGACTTTTTTTTATTTCATTCTCTGTCTTTGCAGTGTTCACATCCAGCCAGCATGCAGAATAAATCAGAAAGAGATTTAATTGTAACAGCATATAACACACTTTTATTGTTTTTGGAGATGAAAAAACAAATGCAGCTGTTTTCTCACAAATTGAAATGTACCAAAAATATTTTCAAAATCAAAAAAATTAAACAAGAGCCCAACACAACATCTGCTTCCTTTCTGAAAGGCAGATGATACATGCTCAAGCAGCTTAAATTTCTTATAAATGGCCTAACAAATGCTAATCTGAATAAAAGAGATATTTCCATATATAACTAAATTTCTTTAGGCATTTTAAAAACATTGATACATTTTTTTATCACTCATTGAACTGCCATTGTATATGAAAAATATAAACAACAAATTTAAAATTCTCTTCAATATCTTATATTGGCCTTAGAGATGTGTTTCAAAGTTTTTTAGTAAATTTAATGATAAATTAACTGAATTTTCTAAAAGTAAAACCTTTTACTTAAACAGAATAAAAATAACATTTTATGCATGGCAGCCTGCGTAGTCAAAGGACAAAACAGAAACACTGTAATTCTACCTCTGTCTGAAAAAGCACACATAAAAGTAAAAATAAAATGCAAAAGAAATATGGAAGACCATCAGTGCAACAATCAAGAATTTGTTATTTATGTTTAAAAATATATATTTTTTAATTCTATACACTTTTATTAAACTTAGTATAATGAATAAATTTGAAGGTATTAAAATACTGCATCCAAAGAAAACACTACCTAAGGTTTAAAATGCATTTTAAAAATGAAAAATCTTTCTTGAAGCTTTTATTTTGGTTTTAATCCCAAGCTAATAGATTAAATTTAATATTTCCAATTAGCAAAATACTGTATTTCAAACCAATTTTAAATTGATTGGAATGATTTTATTTTTTTGAATTGCTAAAATCGGCCATATTGACAAATGTGTCAAAACGATGTAATTCTCTTTATTAAAAATCTTTCAAGAATAAAATATACTTTTTTGAATCTATGTTTTAGGAAGATTAACTAGTTTAAAGTTTAATTAATCTGAATTAAAACAAATATTATTTACTTTCAATTTAAAATATTGCAGAAAAGCATTCTTTTTCACATGGAGATGTGTGTTTTTATGAGGTGTTGACGCATTTATTGATAACCTGACAATTGTGAAATTTCAGTAAGAGAGAAATAATTTTTATCTATCCAGTAATCTTAAAAAATTAAAACATTTTAAATATTCTAATATTTTTATTAAATTTTAGGTGCTTTGGCTTTATAGTTTTACTTATGAAGACGCTGGTTGAGAAAATGTCAGAAAATTACTAATAAATTTTAAATTTATTATACTTAATGTTTGGATATCCGTATTTAGAAAAATTGGCATATATATACACACAAAAAAAATTCAAAATTCTTTTTATAATACTTTAAGTCACTGAATTGTAGTAAGCTTTTACTTAATAATAGCAACCCCTATAAATTAATACAGAATTTTAAAACTTTATAAACTATTCCAATTAAAATTTAAAATAAATGAAAACAATTCTTGTAAAAATTCATTAGTCATTGAAAAAATATTTTTCTTAAGACAATAGTGTCCATTATATCTTTTTCATAAAAGCAATTACATGCTTTTCTAATTAAAATGGCTTAGTTCCTCTGTACTTAACTTCGTTTTACGCACGTTTTTATAAAAGTGAGAGTAACAGTAGAACACTACTGTTGTTGACAGACAAATAAAATAAATGTTATATGTTTTTATTAATCATGAAGTTGTTATTATTTATTATTATGCTACTTACCTGGTATCATTTATTATTATGATACTTACCTGCTATCATTTTGATTTATTATTATGATACTTACCTGGTATCACGGCTATGACTAGTTTAGCTATGACCAGCTAAGTAAGACCAGCTTAGACCAGCGGCCCGAGTGAAAAAACACTCGGTTCCCCACGTTAAAAACTGACCTTGTGTCACAACCTGACTCAGTGGTGGTGGTGGGGGGGAGTCATATTCAATTTTTAAGAGATTTTTAAATTTATTGTTTTCATTTCTCATTTTCGTCAATAACGAAGGTTTGACAAGTGACCATGCCAATGATCTTTTAAAAATAAAATAAAATATTTAATTTAAATTTTTAAAAAATGCTCATCGTAAAATTTTTTTTTTTTTGAGTCTAGTCTTTAAATAATTTTTCTTTTTTTTGAGTCTAGAGGCTGTTATTTCAAATAAAACCAACATTTAACTAACTTCAAAGAAGACATTTAAATTATTTAGAACGCGTTTTTATTTATTCGTGATGATAGCTACAAATTACTGATATAATGATCGAAAAGATTTTTTAAAATCAAAATTAAAGGTCGAGGTCATATGTAGTAAGGGGGAGTAACTCTGTTTAACTTAGTGTTACAATCTTCTGCACAGATATTATTTCTTGATGAAGTTGTCGCAGACTTTCTCGTTCTTATCTCTTTACCTCACCTCATTCAGAAGGGTTCCTGTTAGCATAAAGCAACGTCTTCCTTTATATCATAGTAGTACGTTAGCGCGGCGGTTTTGTATCTCAGCAACTATGTCGTCTGTAAAAGGTAGTAAAGTTTATATCACTAGACGTGTTCCTTCTGGTGGAATCAAATTGTTAGAAGAAGCTGGATGTCAGCTGAAACAATGGGCACACGATGACGCTGTCCCCAGCGATGAATTACTCAAGGGAGTCTCTGGAGTAGATGCTATTTTCTGTTTGCTCTCTGATAAAATTGACAAAGCTGTCTTGGATGCTGCCGGTGAGTATAAGTCATGTGTGCCATATCAAACTTACGTTAACGGTTAATTGAAAAAAAAAAAAAGGTGTTTTTTTTTTCCAGATATTCAACACCACTTTCAATGCTATCTACGACACTGAATGAAAAATTTTCAAGGAGCAAGGAAATCACTATTTACATTATAATAATAAAATAATTATTAATATTTTAATTAAATGTTCACGATTGAAGAATGAATGGATTCAATTTTCAATCTCGTCTCGCAGGCTGGGCAAGAGACGGTATGCTTACTTTTCAAACTTTAAAGTCCAGTCTCAAGGGGCCCAAGTCTCTAGGCTTTACCTCTCCCTCGGGTAGGGACTGCAGTTACTCCATGGTGCCTCCTTAGTTAGCTAGAGTTCCCTTAATTTTTTAAAAATTGCACTCATATTCTGAGTTCTTTTTTGAATTTGAAAAATTACGCTTTAAACATACAAGAAATAACAATACTAGAGCTACTAAAAAGAAAGAAGTAAATTTCGTCTTTTCAGCATTTTAAGTAAAATAAAATTAATCACGTTGGCAAAGTTTAACCGAACGTTCATACCCGAAAAAAAAAAAATCTGTCAAAAGGACGGTTTTTTGCTTGACGCCACTATTTTATAATTTACTCAACTGTATGCCATGTTTTTTTTAATCTATGTTTAACTTTAAAGATTAATTTTAATAACAGAAAAATGTTACAAACTATTTTTATTTGTTAGATTCTATATTTACAAGATTATAAAAACATTGCGCATAAACAGTTCAATATTTACCATTTTATGAAGAAATAAATATGAAAAAATCTTTTATTAAAAAAAAAAAATTATAAAAATTTCCAAACACTAAAGATTAATAATTCAGTCACCAAAACCAGTCAGCTCTTACTTGACAAATTTGACACTAATTGATGAACAGAACTGGCACATAAGGATACGTAGTTATTCCAATAATGAAATGCACCATTTGAAAGATAAATAACTTCAACAATTACAGTTGGAAAGGGTTCGGTTTGCTAGGTAAATTAATTGTAAATTGATCCCACAACGACAAAAGCCAACCATAACAAAATGTTTCCATGCCACATGATTTCTTTAATGTGAAAATAACACCAGATTAGGAATTTTTCTTTTTTTTTTTTCATATATTACTATTGATTATGCAATTCAGATTATGAAATGCCCACAAATTAATTTAAAAAAATTTAAAATCATGTTGCATGTTTTGGCTTCAGTAGAGGGATCAATTTACTTACAATAAATTTGCATAGTAAGCTCCCCCTACCCTGGTACTACTGAACAAAAGTTGACCTTTGTGCACATTTGAAATTTAACTTGAATATTCATAATCATTAATTTTTAAACTTTACAATTATTTTTTTAAATTTTTGTATAAAAAAAAAATAAAAATAGGATTATTCCAAATAACAATATTTATTTAATTCTAAACTATATACCATTACAAAAGTTGAAAAATACTTTCAAAACTCTGTTCACTTGTATATGCACGTAGATTCACTTTTTTTGCATAGTAATACCCCCCCCCCCAAAGAATGTAATAATTTGGGGTGGGTTCTGGGGTGCTTAATCTTTAATAATATGAAAAAAATTTTATTTTTGGTCTCAGTGTATATTGTACAACTCCATCGAATGTCTTAACCACAACTTTATACACACATTCATGTTGGTTAGTTAATAATACAAATTTATTGTAGAAAAAAAATGAACTTGCATAATAAATTCTAATTTTTCTGTAGTAATGTGTACATAAAATGACCTAGACAAAAAGCTTATAAAAAATGGAAATATTTTTGATACAACCTAATAGATATCTTTATTTTTCAGGTTCACAACTAAAGGTTGTTGCTACTCTTTCTGTAGGCTTTGACCATATTGATATTGAGGAGTGTCATCGACGTAACATTCTGATTGGTTACACACCTGAAGTCTTGACTATGGCCACAGCTGAATTGGCAGTAGCCTTACTTTTGGCCACTTCAAGGAATATACCAAATGGTAGGTATTGTTTTAGGTAAAATAAAGTTTTAAATGGTGCAACAATATATGAGTTACTCTCAAGATGAAGTCGATTTGTGGCCTGCCACATGGTCTAAAAAGGTTACATGTGATGCCAAAGGTTGGGGTTCAAGAACAGATAAATAGTCAAGGTTGTGTACAATCTCCCCATCTCAGTTTGGTCTTGTAACTTATTAAACTATGCTTAGTAAATAGTAATTTATTGATTTGTTAAAATAAATAGCTTGGCCTGTCACCTACTATAAAAGCCTTAAGAAGAAAATTACCTTTAGTGGTTGTCATTTTTGGACTAGCATTCCTAAAAAATATTAGCAGACAGTTTTTATTTAAAAGTATTTATGAAAATCTGCTTATTTTTTTTTTTTTTTCGTTTATAGAGGCTAATAGTGAATGATTAATATCCTTAGATTGAGAGTGGGGGGCACTTGAGAACACTGGTTACTGTAATTAACCATCTGTAATCTGAAATATGTTTCAGCTTTAAATAACCCACAAAGGGTTGGTAAGCCATAAAAAACAATAAATCAATCTTGTTTTATCAATACAAAGCAGATTTTGAATTTAATCCACTCCTGATGAACTGTAGCATGAGGTTCCTTGATTTGCATGTCTACCAAATGAACCCAGTTTGCCTCATCAAGCTTCAAGTCGAACTTGTATATACAGTCCACAACTAAAGATGCTGGGAAAATTGTCATCTTATTGTACCACTCTGATTTCTTCTACCATGCTTTTTTTTTTTTTTTTTTTTTTTATACATGAATCAAATCAAACCAAAAATGGTATATCATTGCCATATCTTTTAAGCATTGTGGGCATCACATTTTTCATCCTGCATCCCCTTTACCGTAGATGCAACCTTGCTAGCATCTTGCTACTCTTTGATTACATTCCTGAGTATAACAATAAACTATCCAGCAGCAAGGTCTCTAATCAGGAGATTAGAGTGTGGAACCACCTCTTAATTGCTGTTGTTCCAAGGTCCACTCAAATCCGGGATGGTAGCACCTGTTAGGGTCCCAACTATAGGCAAATAGTGAAAATAAAAACAAAATACTATAAAAAGCCTAAAAATACAATTTTATAGACTGACCAACAATACATTTTATCTGTGGTGAAGACATGCAATTATGTTTAAAATATATTTAGTTGAAGCTATAAAATTGTTCAAAATATTTAGATTTCGGCATTAAATAACTCCTAGAAGTTGACAGGCCATGAAACGAAATCAACCCACTCTATCACTATTTCCATGGAAAATGTTCAAACAAGCTACATTCTTTACTGCCACTATTTCAGATCTTCACTGCTAAAACTTGCCTTACTGTGTCCACAGGGTTGAATCACCTTCATTACTTCCGTATTGCATTGGTAAAAAGAGAGTTCCACTTGGCTTCTTTCAAAAATCAATACTTTGTAGAATAGACTGCCATATGGATGTTTCTCTAAGCACTAAAATCTTCACCTCTTCAAGTCCAGGGTCAGTTGTTTTCCATCCTAGATATCTTCACTTCTAACTGCCTCCTCTGACATTCATATCACACCCCTCACTCAGTAACCCTCTACCTTAAGTGGCTCTTGAGCATTACTTAAAAAAAAAAAAAGCAGCTTATTCCCATGAAAAGCTGCTTTGTGGAACTGACTCCTAAGAAGATTCTTCCCTGATCAATCCAGCTATGGGCAAATAGTTAAAAAGTCAAACTGGGGTCAAAACACTATGAAAGTGTAAAAATAGATTTTAGTACCAGAAATCTTACTTATTATAAAACGCAGATTGTGTGTGTGTGTGTGTGTGTGTGTGTGTGTGTGTGTGTGTGTGTGTGTATCTGTATCTGTACGTTTATATATTGATTGATTTCCTACATTTTTCAACCGATTTCAACAAAACTTCACAGGACTACGAAAATTACCTCATGTGGTTCTGACAGTGCCAAAAATTGAAAAAACACAATTGTTTTTGCAAGAAATCAATTTGAAAACACGATTAAGAGGCATCGCGAGAATGAAAGGGGGACAACTCATATCGAAGTTATACTTATTATAAAACCCAGGTTGTTTGTGTGTGTTCGCTTATATATGGGATTGGATTTCCTACATTTTTCAACCGATTTCAACAAAACTTTACTTTTTTTTTTTGGCAGGTAGTGTTTCTTATTGTCTTGCACACTTTTTTCTTTATTTTTACATTCAGAATGCTTTAAAAATTCCATTTTACAAGACAATTGTTTATAATAAAATTCTATTCAATCGGTAGACTCATAACAATTGAAAACAATGTTTTGTTTGGGTTTGACCAATTCATTAAAAAAAACAAAAAAAATTAAGACATGTGTGTTTGTCAACCTTAAACAATAATCTTTGTCAATTTTATTTTTCAGTCTTTATGATGGTCGATACTTGATCTATCTCTTACTGTTACATCCCCGGGCAACGCCGGGCTCTACTGCTAATACTTTATAAAAAAAATTATTGCCAGCAATACATTTTTGAAAAAAAGATATTACCAGAAATACATTTTTGATAAAAAAAAAAAATATTACCAGTAATAAAAATTGTCAGTATTAAATAACCCATTGAGGTTGATATGCCATAAAACAAACCAAACCAGGATGCAGATCAGGCTGAAAATGGATTACTGCTGCCATATATGGGCAAGAGGTGGCCAGTCTTGACTTTCCAGTCTCAATAGAGTTCAAAAGCATTATGTGGCTGATAGCCTAAAACAACATTCTCACATGAAATGTCGCAAGCCTCTTGCTACATTATCGTTATTTTCATGGAAAGTGTTCAGATGAACAACATTCCTTAGTTTCACCAGTTCTAACCTCCATCGGTGCTCCATTGGTAACAAGAGAGTTCCACTTGGCTTCTTCCAAAAACCAGTACTCTGTAGAATAGACTGCCATATGGATGTTTCTCTAAACACTAAAATCTTAACCTCTTCAAGTCTAGGGTCAGTTGTCTTCCATCCTAGATATCTTCACTTCTGACTGCCTCCTCTTACATTCATATCACACACCTCACTCAGTAACCCTCTACCTTAAGTGGCTCTTGAGCATTAGTTTAAAATATGTCCATTCAAACATTATTTCTGGCTCCTTACAAGTATAAAATCCAGTTACCTCCCTTGTACTGATATTTAAAAAAATTAATATCCTAGCATTGTCAAATATTTTCATATGTACAGGTGAGCCACCACCAATTGGGCGCTGTTATTCATGTTACTGTATTACTGATGGATCTGATGAAAGTGAAATTATTATTATACAATTAAAAGGAAGGTTTTCAGCTTCTGAAAAGAGGTCCCAAAAAGTACAAATTTTGACAATATTTCCAAAAAGCTAGAGTATTCAAAGAATTCAAATATAATCTCGCGCCACAACATACATAGCAAGACAAGACAAAAAAATTAACAAGGAATATTAAATCTAACAAATACACGAAAATTTAGATACTCACAAGAGGCAAATAAGAGTGAAGAAATCCTCAGAGTAATGCCTGGAAAAAAAATGACTGTAATACAGTCTTAAAAATGGTAAAACTCAGAAACAAAAGTATCTTGAACTCTGTGATCTGAAAGAAGCATACCAATTATTTAAATAAAAAATTCCAAACTGAATTTAGTTTTTCAAAATTTGCTGAGCACTTTTTTAAATAATTATTTTCATTATATCACCTATTCATATAAAATTTATTTGATGTATGATAAAAATGTAAACAAAACCAAAAATAAGGTTGTTTATTTTCTACCGAATTGGTCATCATTTAACCACAAATAACACAAATTCTAATGATTTTATGATCATAGTTCTTATGAAAATATTAATCAGCATTCAAAGTGTTTTCTAAACATATAGAACTTCACCATATTGGGAGATATGAAAATGTTAGCATATAGTGGCAAATAGCAAAATCCACCATTTTGAATTTGGCCCAACTCAGTAAAACCCTTGTAACTCAGGCCACAGTCAAAAGTCCATCAGAAAATTTTGTGCATATCATGCTGTAAGACAAACAAAATTTAAGACATGCTTTTTGAGAAATTAAAGGTCAAATGTTAAGGTCATGGTCCGATTATCTTATCTGACCTTTAAACAAAAAAAGAATAGGTCATCTTTTAGATCTATCCAAGTACTTTAAAATAGTCTATAATTTAGCTTTGTGACTGAAAAAAACAACTGAGTTATTGATATTTAAACTTTGTGACTATTTTCTAAAATTCATCATTTTGACAAGGGTCAAAGGGTCATATCTCGGGAATCCTTTGACCTAGAGATGTAAAATAGTTACCATTCAATTTCTATAATGAAGCTCTATAAGTGCACCAAATTTGAATGTGATGGTCAGACCTTTGTTGATTTGACATGGAATGACTCTCTCTCTCTCTCTATCTATCTATATCTTTCTATATATGCACACACATGTATATGTATAGTGTGCGATCGATAAATTGTCGTTTAAATTATGCAAAAATGAAAATACTGACATCTCATTTTAACAGATATATTTACCAAAATTACATAAAAATATCTTGAAATACTAATGAGTAAATTTATTCAATAAAATTGCCATTGGCTTCAAGCATGGCCTCCAGACAACTTCGGAATCTCCTGCAACTCTTCTGGACGGTCTCTTTGTTTAAGTTGGTATATGCTACCATAATCCTTGCTTCCAGTTCATTTTTGGTGCTACAAGGAGTTTTGTTGATATCTTGATCAACACTGCACTTTATACATAATAATTAAGGGGGTTGCAGTTTGGGGAGTTATTAAGTGGTCATATGTAAGGGGTGATGTGGTCGCAGAAATTATCTGATAGCCATGACCTGCTTGTGTGGCATGGTGCAGAGTCCTGTTGCCAGATATAGGCTCTTCCAGCAGCTACCCTCTTGACCTAGGTCAGCAATACCTCCTCAAGGCACTTGATGCAGTCCTCCATGTAGGCCCTTACCTACAAAATTGGATGTTCTTATCAGAGAAAGTTTTCCAAGCTGCTGTACCTTCATAATCAACATTAGACTCCTCAAATTCTTTCCAAATCCTCTGCACTGTCCTCAGATTGACACCCAAACACTCTGAAATGTTTGTATTGGGCTTCTGGTATGAATACCAAACAGTACAGCATGCTGTTTCCAAATTTCTGATGGAGTGAATTGCATTGATGTAATGGAAAAACCAGTCACCCCTATGAATGATTACACGATTAGTAGTAAGTACCTATAAAGTCAACTGTCTATAAGAGACTTGAGGAAGAGTAAGAGCGAGACGATGCAAGCACGTCCGACCTTCCAATTAGTGGTGCTCACTACTAGATTGACCTGTGTGTATAACTATACTATATTTCATATTGTACTGATTGTGTACAATAAACCTTTCTTCCACCTGGTGTTAAGTATTTATTCCCTTAGCACAGAATATAACATGCATCATGGTGCTCTTTTTTTGTCACTGATGGTGCCCACTCACCCTACTATACTATGCAGTCAAAAAAATAAAAAATAAACAATGCACATATGAGAAATTAAAAATATAAAATGGCGACAATTTACCCATCGCATCCTGTATGTGCCAGTTCTTTGAAATGTCAATTTTCACCGTATCCTTCTGTATTTATTGTATTGTTTTGTATTTTTCAACACTCTATACAAATATAGTGTCATAAGATATGTTGTCATAAGATATCTTTCCGCAAATCCTCCATACAAGTACTGAATAAGCATTATCCTAACATATATCTCAACTTCATGACAAGAACAGAGTTGGATGAAACCAAGAACTGGCCTATTTTATTGGCTAGCAAAAAATCCCAGCATGCATTTGAGTGCTTCTACCTATAAAATGGGGAAGGGAAAAGAGTTTTACAGTCATTCCTATTGTTTTTTTTTTGTAAGAAAAATGAAAACAAAGAGATATTTTGAAATTTTTACATGATGGGGATTTTGTATGTTCCCTGTGAATATGTGGTATTGTGGTACATGTAGGATTGAATGGTGATGGATGAGTTCTTCTGGTGCATGAGCAAATTGTATGAATGAATGGGTCATGAATCTGATTAGCTAGGTCTAGGATAGTGACTGTTGACCAGCATTACCCCACATCCCTTTCAGCCTTGTGCCACATTTACTGTAATAAATAATCATTCCTATTGGTTTGGTATGAACAAAATATAAGATGGCATCAAATTTCATAATTTACTTAGTCAACTGGGACATACGTTCCATCTTAATAATTTTTCTCATTTTCCTGTACAGCTCAGAATTGGAAATTAGGAAAGGTATGAAGCCATCTTTTCTCTTCCCCATGCTATGGGTTAATTAGTAGAACTTGTATCAGTAAATCATTATCTCCAAAAAATTCTTACAGGTTGATAAGCTGTAAAAATATCAATTATTCCATTTTCCTGTAACCCTTTATGAGTTCATAAGATTTTAATAAGAACTACTCTTTCAATGAGATTGTGTATTTTTCTTTTCTTTTTTTTTTTTTTTTTTTTTACATTGCAACAAAAAATCTTCCAATTGCATTATGATACAAAAAACAATGATGATACTGCAGTAATTAATAAATGAATTAATGACAGTTAAAGTGACAGATGTGGTTTTAGAAAGAAATGTTGAGAATATCATGGATAGAACATGTGAGCAACGAGGAAGTATTAAGAAAAGTAGGAATAACAAGGAAATTTAACACTAACAATGAATTACAATTTCAAAAGATGTTTGAAATATCTGGTACCTATAATGAGAAAAGATGCTTTAGAGAATTTAACACTGAGAAAAGAAGCAGGGGTGGGGAAAGGATGTAACCTACTTAGTGAGTTTGTGTGAATAGAACAGGGCTAGAGATGGGAGAGGATAAAAAATTACTTAAGCAGCAGAAGACAGGAAGTTGTGGAAAGATGTTTTTTTTTTTTTTTTTTTATTGGTTAGTCATTTTTTGTATTAGTTATTTTTTTTATCTGTCTATATTTCTGAGATGAGGTATTATGTACACTATTTACATTATTCAGACTATTTGTTGCCATATTTATCACAATTTTTGTATGCTCTGGTGGTTGGAATGTCAAACTGAACCCTATATGAGCTCTGGTAAAAAAAAAAACATGATGATAACAGCAAAAAATTGCAACTGCACTGATAAAAAAAATGATTGCTGATGACATTAGGTTTATAATACCCAGAAATTCATACACAGATGTCCTCAAGAACACATGGCACAGTGGATAAAGGCATTAGTTAGATCAAATGATAGGACCCAAAGAGTTTTCAATACCTGGTTATGGTGGTGGAGAACTTGGAGAGGGGAATTAACAAGCGATAACTGATAACTGACATCCATTAGACATGGAACTAGAACAGTCTACCCAATAAAGGATTCAGTTCGACATTCCAATCACCAGAGCTTACAATGGCTGAAGTGTTGTAATAAATATGAGATGAGGACAATAGTCCGAATAATGTAAATAGTTGTTTTATTGATTAGTCAGTTTTTGTATTAGTTATTTTTTTTGGTTTTATTGGTTAGTTATTTTTTTTTTTTTTTTGTTTTATTGGTTTGTCATTAATTTTTTTGTTTTATTGGTTAGTTATTTTTTTTTTTGTTTTATTGGTTTGTCATTAATTTTTTTCTTGATTGGTTAGTCTTTTTCTGTTTTTGATTGGTGAGTATCATTGATTTTTTTTTTTTTTTTTTTTTTTTTTTGATTGATTAGTCATATTGTTTTTCTTTGAGTAGTTACTCATACTAATTTTTTTTAATTGGTTGGTCATATTCATTTTTTTTTGATTGGTTAGAAAAGATAACCATCAAAATTCTTAATCATGTATTTAAGCTGTGATGTACATTTTTGAACAGACTTTTTTTTTTTTAAATAATAACAGCAAAAATATTCTCTACACGTCTGATATGTAAAATTTTTGCCGTTTATCTTTTATAGCAATTAATGCTGTCCGGAATGGTGAATGGGGCACATGGAAACCTCTATGGCTGTGTGGAGCTGGATTGGATGGTTCCACTGTTGGCATTGTTGGTATGGGACGAATTGGAAATGCAATTGCGGGAATGTTAAAACCTTTTGGGGTTTCTCAGTTCCTTTACACTAACAGAAGTGGCCCACGAGAAACAAAGGTTCCAGCTAAGCACGTAGACTTACCCACTTTACTTAAGGAATCGGACTTTGTCATTGCTTCTTGTGCTTTATCACCAGAAACCAAAGGAATGTTCAATGCTTCTGCATTCTCTCAGATGAAGAAAACTGCCATATTTGTGAACATAAGTCGAGGGACTATTGTCAACCAGGATGATTTAATTCAGGCATTACAGAATGGTACGATTCGTGCAGCAGGTTTAGATGTAACCACACCAGAGCCCTTACCTCTTGATAGCCCGCTTTTACAGTTGAAGAATTGTGTAGTGCTTCCCCACATTGGCAGTGCCACAGAGAAAGCACGTGAAACAATGTCAGAACTAACAGCCAGAAATATAATAGCAGCCTTGGATTCTAAACCAATGCCTTCACAATTAAAGCCTTAAAAAAATATTCTTAACAAATTAAGCACCAAAGTAGAGTAATTAATTCTTTATTTTACTTGTTAATTTAATTAACTTCCCCCTTTTGGAAATATTACACTTTGTCTTCATTTTGTCCTCCACACGTGGCTGTGACTTAGCTCTGCTTTCCAACAAAGCTGTTTAGTCTATGAGGAATCTTTATTGACTTGTGCTAATTACATTGGTGCTGAAAGTTTTAATACATATGAAGTGAATCTCAACATTTTCATTGAAAATGAGAGGAATTTATAACTTTTTTGGTAATGGGAATTTAATATTTCTGACAAGGTCCTTAAATGGTTTAAGATAATAGTCGGATATTTTAATAAGCTGGATCAAAAGAAAAAAAAAGGGCAGTCCAATATTGAAGACAGAAACGTTCCAAAATATATGAAAGTCCAAAAAAAATTAATAAGTTTAATTAAAGCGCCTTAATGTCTGAGATTGTCGTTATGCATTATTCAAATAAGTATGGTTAATTTTATCAAAACATTTCAGCCAACATTTTTTTTGTCTTCCTTCAGATGTATATTGTAGCTCCTATTCTCTCAAGTATTGGCCATCTTCTTATTTTTCTTGATTATTTTTTCTTTAAAGACATTTCTATGCTTCATCTTAATCCATTAATTTCAAGAATTACCATTGTTTCAGTTCTGTGGCTTAACAACAAATGGCAAATTGCAGTTAACATATGCCAAGTTAAATTTCTGTCATACTACAGTTTTCAAATTGGCTACTCCTGTCTGAATTTCTAGGCTGAGAAGCTGTTATTTACATTTATCTACACTCTGACTATTGTCCTCATCTTTGTTGTTATTATCCTGTTTTGGCTGTTGTGCCCAGCTTTCATAAGGTAACCAATGATTTAATTCACTAGCATAGTGGATTAAAGCATTGGTTTGTGAATTTGGTAACACATTCATTGTGAGTTCAATCCCTGGGCTGAGCAGTGCATAATTGAACTTGGTGGAAACTGAGAAGCAGTATCTAATCAGTACTAAGTAAGAATTAGATGGGATATCACTAGACATGGTCAACAGATTGAGAACAATCTATCCCTGTAGATTAAATAAAGGGTTCAGTTCAAAGTTTTCCAAAGGTTATTTGGATCAACAAGCAATGGATAAAGGTCAGAGGACGTAACAGCTGAAATGTAATAACAACAAAGATGAGGATATTAGTCTCTATGTAAATAATGGTTACTCTTATTTAATATTAAAGCAAATAATAAAGATGCATTTATTATGGAAAACAAATTTATATGAATTCCAAGATGATTGATTCATATTAAAAAAAAAAAAAAAAAACTACCATCAACATAAAAATACTCCATACAGACTTCAGAAACAAAATAGAACACTTCAAAAGAAAATGGCCAGCAATATGGGACTCAAAACTTAACAAACTATACAATATTCAACCAACTATAAGAGAATGGCTCCCAGGTTTTCAGAAAAATAAGACGGGAGGAAATAGTTTTATCCAGACTCAAAATAAGATATACACATTTGACACCCTCACATCTACTAAAAACTGAAACTCCCCTCATCATGCAATAGATGTCATAGACCTCTCACAGTTGAACACATACTGATAAGTTGCAATGCAACAGATGTCATAAATCTCTCACAGTCAAACATATACTGATAAGTTGCAATGCAAAAGATGTCATAGACCTCTCACAGTCAAACATATACTGATAAGTTGCAATGAAAAAGATGTCATAGACCTCTCACAGTCAAACATATACTGATAAGTTGCAATGCAACAGATGTCAAAGACCTCTCACAGTCAAACATATACTGATAAGTTGCAATCATTTCAGTCCAACCTAAACAAAATATTATCAAGCAAATCATACAAAAGAACTCTTTGAAAAACACTAAATGAAACAATATCCTTAACTTCTTAAAGGAAATCAAACTTTATTCCAAAATATAAAACTTTTTTAGTATATTTTGAAAAGTGAAAGAAAAGGAATCCTTCAGACTTCATAAAGGTCTCCACTGAAGGTAACAATGCAAACTCTAATAAACAACTTGTATCAAAAACTGAATACAAAATAACTTGTAATAGAAATCAACATCTTTCATAACTGATTAAAAAGAAAGAAATCTTTTGCCAAATAACCTGAATCCAAAATATCACTGATTCACACAAAACATATACTCAATGCAACCATGATTCAAAACCCTTATTTGGCCTTAAATAACCCCTATAGTTGTTATTAGGCCAGAAACAAAACCAAATCAAACATTAAAAAAATTAGAAGTTGATATATTTAGTTAATAGATTCTCATAGATAAGAATGTACTGCTATTTTGTGTTTGGTTGTAATAAGAGTTTCCACCTTAGTCCAGAGGATTGCAATTTGTCTTAATTATATTTTTAATTGATAAAATAAAATAGAAATTAACATAACAATTAGAAATTCCTTTAATTAAAATCTTTTAATTCTATGCACATTTATATTTTAAGATCTTTTGAAAATTTTACTCTTCTATTGGATTCCCACCAATTTTTTAATGAATTTTATATTTAAATCTCACAATTTGCTGTTGATGAAAATTATTGTATCTGTCAGAGTAATACATTGGTAAGATATATCTATATATACACACATACATACATACATACATACATACATATATGTATATATATAGAGAGAGAGGTGTGGATTGTACAATGGTTAGCAGCTTGAGATGAGAAATTGGTGAACCAAATTCAAATTTCAGTCAAGTTTAGTACATTCACTTTCTGGCAAATATCTTTTGAAAGGTTATGAATCCAGCTCTTCACCCCCCCCCCCCCAAACCATTTATAGGTCAAATAGTAGAGCTGACTGGGTTCTTCAGCCTTAGTTGTCAACCAGTCTAGAAGGACAACTCTGAATTCTAAAAAGGGTGGGTATGGGGATAGCAACCACATCCCATGAAAAACCTACTTGCTATGGACACTGGTAGCAACAATGCCTAGCCTAGCATGTTCAGCCTGTGAAATGTATAGGATTTTATATATATATATAATGACAATTGTGACGTGTTCCATCCATTAAGATTTCATCAAACTGGACTTTGTTAACATTGCCATGTCTGCATATGCTCATGAAGTGAGAGATGTAGGTAGTCTGCTGAAATCCTAACAGATGAAACGTGTCAAAAAAATCTTTTCCAGTTTGTCATATTTTTTTAGATATTGTATGTTAATATATAAAATTATACAATATATATATATATATATATATATATATATATATATATATATATATATAATTATAAATTTATTAATTTAAAAAATATGGTTCCATCACCACACAAGAGTTACCATGTTTCAAAAACAAACTAAAAACTTCAAATTCAAATATACAATTAAATTAAAGTCCCTAGTCCTATTTCATTTTCAAGCGAATTTTGAAATAACTTATTTTGAAATTTACTGAGTTTCATAAGCACATACATTCATAATATTAGTTTCTAAGGATATGGGGAAATCCAATCATTTTAACAAGGGGCGGTAGGGTATTCATTTTCACTGACAACTATTGTATCAAAATACGAGTTACTTTTGAAAAGTCAAGGTAGGGTAGGAGTGCCTTTTCCAACAAATGATGACATCCGTTCAACGCATGTCGTTTGGTCTTTTAATATTTATGCTCTGTAGATTTGTATTGAGCACTGTTTTGTAAAAATAAAAATATTAATAAGAACACCAGATTATATATCTTACTGTTCTTTCTCTTTATTATAAAATATATATAAATAAAATAATAGCTGGCCACTTGTATTCGAGGATACCCGTCTATTGATATGACTAGCCAATCCCTATTGCAGACACTTGCTCAGGCACATTTGTGTTCAACACCCACAGATCCAACCTGTGGATTTTACTGAAGCTATACTGAACAGACCTTAGTTGCAGTTTCTGGGAGAGAGCATGTGTGCGTGTGTTTGTATTTAATTTTTTTGTGTGTGTGTGTGTGTGTGTGTGTAACAATTGAGGAGCAGTGTGCAAAAGACCCCCATTCACGTCCACATCCAAAAAGATAAGGTGCTGACAAACTACAAAGCAAATTCTCTTCTTTCCCACTCTCTTTGCATGAGTTAGTGAGGGAGGGTGTGGTGAACTTCAAAGAGAACTCACCTTAGGGTGACACAGTTCACACTAAATTGTATGGAATCTTGACACGCAGAATTTTGGCATTTAACAAAAACCTGAGTAGAAGGTTGGACAGCTTTATGTCATTGTGCTTTGGAAACTTTGCAGTAAAAAAAATATTTTAGTTGTAAATATGTAACATCTATGAAAATAAAATATGGATATCTTTCCTGATGTGTTTATAAATTGTACACTGTTCAATTATTAATGTTAAAATGAACTATTTTAAATTACAAAATTGCACATGAATTAAACAAAAATTACTTAAATATAAAACATATTATTTATAATACATTCCTTCTTGCCATCAATTTTGATGGCATGGGTACACTAGTGTATATATATATATATATATATAATAATGATGTACTCTCCCATTGGTTTCGACGTATGAGGATCTGACAGCTTAATTGATTCAGTTATTAAATTTTGTGCAATAATCTTGTGGCACTTAAGACCCACTAGTGATTTACAAAGGCAGCCACATATGGAGCAAGAGTGAGGATTGTGAGATGAGATCACTGCTAGATTGGCTGACTTTTTAGATCTTGCGCTCGCTTCTTGAAGATGATTCAGACAAGCAGATTGAAAACTGCTGAGTCCACTAAAACACGTTGATTTCCATTCTACCCGCTCCAAGTCTAAGTGCTCAAGGGTGTTATGTGGTATATTGTGGAACTCTTCCAGCTTTTTGCTTTCCAGACAAATTTGATCTTCAAAAATTTAAATGCAATGCCAAATGTTATCTTCTGTCTTCTTAATTCCTGTTCTTTTATTGACCTCTTTCCTTAATAATGTTTTTTTTCTCAAATTCTTTCATACTTAGTAACCGCTTGTGTCTTATTGGATTTATCCCCTTGCTTGGGGTTGAAATGACTAAAAAATGTTCTTATGAAGATTAAAAAATAAACCACATTATTAACACATTTACGTGTACCTTGGATATTTCAACCTTTGCTTAATATCATCTATGTTATTAAAATTACCATTAGAAAGTGTTATATAAGACTACTTATATGTTATTTTGGTAAATAGTATTAATTTTATTAATGCATTCATTTCTACTGTGGATATTTGAACACTTACATAATGCCATCTCTATTTTTTTTTAGTTACCATTAGAAAAATAGAGCAACACAAACTTGTCTAGGAAAATAACTGAAATTTAGATAACAACCAAGGTGTGTCTCCCACACACAGTGGTGCTATAGTATTAAAAGAATGCAATTTTGGTCCATTCACATTAGCAACAATGATAAAACAGCCCAGAATGCATCACTGGATAATGATTATTATTTGGCAAAGATAAAAATCGCTTCAGTACGTATGCCTTAGTTTTAGTTACTCAAAATCAAAAAGGTTCTTCAACTGTGAATAGTGTCACTTTTATTTCAATACAGGCTTACACAACATACCTATAAGTGCTGCCCTACTGTATCTATCAGTACAGGTAGGTACTCTTTCAATATGTAGTGCATATCCATAGCTAAAAAGTTAAAAGTAAAACATATTTAACATTTTTAAAGAAACTATCATTAAAAACAGGAAATATACTGTATTTCTCAATAGTGAAAAATACAGAATAATTAAGGGAAAAAGCTAATAATATTCATCTGATGACGCCTTCATTCTTTTTTACTAATATTTTCCCAATACAAGGCTCAAGAGCCACTCATGATAGAGGTTACTGAATGAGGTATGTAATATGAATGTAAGAGGAAGTAGAAGTAAGTAATTATGAGCATAAGGTTGGGGGGAGTTGATGACTAATCCTTGACTTGAAAAGATTGTAGTGTTCAAGAAAGCATCGACATGATAGTTTGCTAAACAAAGTGTTTTCAGTGTGGAAAACTGAGTGGAACTTCCTTACAAATGGAATATGGAGAAAATATGTGTGATTTGTCTTCATGGACATAGCATGGTAAGTCCTAGCTATAAATGTCTGAACTGGTGGAACAAGAGTGGGGCTCATCTAAAAGATTTGACATGGAAATAGCAATGGAGCAGTGACAGGCAACTTTGTGACTGGGGGAAGAGGCTGTAGAATGAGAAATAACTCATCACATACAAGACCACATAAATAATTTTGGGTAAATATGGACCATCATAAAAAAAAACAGTCTCAAAAGGATGGTGTTTCTCATGACACTGTTTTTAACTACCTTCACTCTTCAGCAATGTTTATTGTTTAAAAAGCAATGATTAGGATTGTAATAAAACCTAAACATGATGAAAGTGAATTTATACAATTTCTTTTGTTCTTGAGAATTTACAAAAAAGTATTAAACACTATTAGATTGTTTATTTACAAGAATAATTTTATATTTACAACATTTTAAAACCTAATACAATTAAAACAAATCCAATGCAATATTCATCATTTACTAATTTATAAAGTAATATGAAAGCAATTTTTTATTCCTAAATTTATAAATTATTAAAATATATGAACCGACTGTAAGGAAATCCTTATTATTTATCATTTTATAAAGTTCAAATCAATTGGTTTGATAACCAATCCAATAAACAATCTAATAAATATTGTTTATTATTTTTGTTCTCAGTTCTCAAGAACAAAGAAAATGTTTAAATTTACTTTCATATATTTAGGTTTTATTACACTTCTAATAATCATTATTTAAACCAATAAACACTACTGAAGAATAGTTAAAATAATAGGTAGTTAAAATAATAGTGGTGTCAATGGTAAAACCATCCGTTTGACACTTAATTTTTTTTTGGCATGTACAAAGGTCAGTGTTTGCCCAATTTTTAACTATATCAAATTATATTCAGACATTGTATTAATATTCCATCTTATTGTATTGATATTAAATATTGATTAATATCATTAATATTGTATTAATATATCATCTTATTGTATCAATATTCCATCTTAGAGATCAGTTTTTATATTCTAATATTATTTTGATTTGTTATAGTTTAATCACTTGCAATTATATATATTTCATCCTGAACTAATCAAACGGGGTATTTAGATGTTAGTCACATGTGATTTACATTTGCTTAGTATAAGGAATTTAGACCCTGATACAGAGGATTGGCTTTAGAGAAATATGTAGTATAAACACTTAGTAGTCTAGTCCCAGCAGCAACTGACAGTTTTAAAAGCCCATACCTAAAAAAAAAAGAATATCTCTTTCTTTGCCTAATGTGTAGTGCTGCTCTATATCCAGTCATCTAAGTAGTACTTTTGCTTCAAAAACATAGACACTTGGACTCTGCTGTTAATGAAAGGTGTACCTTTTCAACAGCTAAATTTTATTTTATTCCTATTTTATGGAAAATAAATTATTGAAATGATAGACTAATATAGAAACCAGTTCAAGAAGCAGGGTAATTTTGCGGGTAGGTTTTTTTGTTTTTTTTTCTATTAAGCCCATACTATTTTTGTCTATCAAATATCTATTATAAGTGATATCCAGGATATTTTTGTCCATCACAAAACAAACTCTGGAGTGATTTTGTCTGTTACATATCAAATGTGTCATATGAGGAAATTTTCAGAGCATATGTGTCATTTGAGGTAATGTACAAGCTGATATTGCCTGTTGCATATCAAATGTTACACAATAAAATTTCTAGAGCATTTTTGTTTGTCATATGAAATAATGTACAGTTTAATATTGTCTGTCCCATGTCAAATGAGTCACAAGGAAATTTCCAGAGCATTTTTGTTTACCAAAAAGATGGTATTGTCTGTCATGTGTCAAAATTTAATATAAAGTATTTTTTTAACAGATTGTCTTTAATATTTTATTAAAGATATTTTTAGTTTTGTGACATGAAAAGGGATAGATGCAGTCCATGGGATGACATTTTATCTCTTTTTGGACATTAATCAAAAGGTTGTGGGGTAGAGTTTTTAATACCATGCAAAAGTCAAAACAATCTGAATAGAAGTTATTTTAATGAAATAGATTTTATTTCACAGAATAAAAACAAAAGGTTATATTGAAATAAAAAACAAAAACAGGTAATGAATTTTTTCCATATTAAAAATATGCATTATATCAAATATTTGACTTTACTTTTGTCTAGATTATAAAAATTAAAAACAAATTTTTAATAAAAAACAAAAACAAATAATGAATTGAAATAAAAAACAAGTAATGAATTTTTTCCATATTAAAAATATGCATTATATCAAATATTTGACTTTACTTTTGTCTAGATTATAAAAATTAAAAACAAATTTTTAATAAAATATTTTTAAAATCACTTTACAATTTTTATTTTAGTAAAATCAGCGGTGAGATGTGGGGGAGCATGTTAGTGCCTACATGATTTTAAGTGAAAATTTAGATAGTACAGAACTTTTTATTTATGTGGAAACATAAAATATATTATCCACCTAATGATTATGTTGCCCTCTGAAACTAAGTTGCTGATTTTGATTAACATCTTAATATTGTATTAATAATATTATTATATTTAAGCTCTACTGACTTTGGCATTGAGCCATCTCTTATATTTTAAGCTTTTAGCTTATTTTAAGCTTTAACTTCTATTTTATTTTAATGCTATATATATATATATTTTATTATTATATATATGTGTGTGTGTCTCAATGGTTGTTGTGATGAGTCTAGTGTGGTAGTCTGTAGTAGTAGTGCTTGTTGCTTCTCGCTTTCAGTTACCGCCGCTGGCTAGCAGAAATGCGAAAAGTGGAGTCGAATGCGTAAGTCTTCCCCTGCCAGTATATAGCCTCTCCATCAGCAAGCCCTATGTAGTGCCTCCTTGTAGCGACACATGCCAACCGAGCACCTTGCGGATTCTGGCTAAACTACAGCAGACGGAGTAGGAGTTGGCCTCCTTAACATGTGGCATGCAGGCCCACCAGTGTGTGGACATGCCCTGGTGCCCATGAACCAAACTCCAGCTATGGGTTAAATAGCTCCACTGCCTTGTGGAAATCTGCAGAAGAAGGAAAAGCCAAGGAGTAAACCCTACACAAAGGTGGAGTGGAGCCCCTAAAATGGATGGATGGCACTTTGTGCTACCTTCCAGCAACTCCTGCAGCCACACTGGCACCAAACTGTATTGGTTTATCCTCTCCTTTGGACTCTGCTAACAAGGCCAAGAGGAGGAACTAGACGTCCAGGCAGCCCTAGTTCTTCATATATCCCACCCAGGCTCATAGTGCACTTGAGAGGATACATATATATATATATATATATATATATATATATATATATACACACACACACACACACACACACACTAAATCCCAACTTATTCAATATCATTGAATATTTTTGTAAGGAATGATATTTTTAAAATAAAAAAAAAAAAAAAACAGGAAAAATTACAAGATGTCTGCACAGATTTCAAGATTAATTTCTTCATTGTCACTGAAATTCTTTTGTAAAGTAAAACATTATTGAAATAAAAAAAAATATTGATAAAATTATAAAATACCTGCTCATAACTATAGACAAATTTCTCTATTGTCTTTGGATTTTTTTGTTCAAAATTAATAAAAAGAAAAAATTGAGAAAATTACAATGTATCTGCACACAAATAATTATCAGTAGACTTTTTTTTGTAAAAGTAAAACAAGGCAAATTTCTCCATTATCATTGGATTTTTTAGTTCAAAATTAAAAGGTAATAAAAAGAAAAATTACAAGGTGAATGAATACACTTCATGACATATTTCTTCATAAGTGGACTTTTTTGAAAGTTAAAATATTTTTAAATTAAAAAAGTGGCATATTTCTAAACTGATTTTTTCACTAACATTGGAGATTTTAAGATAAAAACATTTTTAATATTAAAAAAGAAATTGCGAAAATTACAATGTAGCTGCTCATAATAATTTTAATAAAAAAAGACCTATTTCTTAATTATTTTTAGATTTTGCAATTATTCAAAACCATTTTTAAATGAATAAATTCTTTAGAAAAATTCAATGTTCCTGCTCATAGTAATTAAAAAAAAAAAAAAAGTTAAAGTTCAATTTCTTTATTATCCTTACCATTTGATGAACACTGGATTTTTTTTGTACAAGTTGTTGAAATCATACAAAACCCTGATGCAATGCCTGGAAAGAAGATCATAAAATATTTCACTTTATGGCTAATTATTTGTCTATCATAACTGTGAAAAAAACAAACTTTATGAATTTTATTAACTTCAGTACAATTTTCCAATTTGTCTTTTTCCAATAATTCAAAAATGTCACACAAGACAACAACCAAGAAGGCAAAAGTACAAACTTCTGAGAATAACCGCAATTTTTTATAATGATTCCTCATTATTCTTGCTCGAGTATTTTGCACCTGGAACCATTCTTTCAGTTTGTACAGCAGAAAGAAAAACAAACAACACAATCGAAGAAAAGTGTTTAAGAATGTCAACAATGGACAGAAATAATTTTCAAGAGGATATACAAATCTTAGAATAAGATGCGGGATTAAAAAAAAAAACTTCCCACACCAAACTAACAAATGGAAACGTAAAGATATCGCTTTGACAAAATCCTGACCATGAGTAACAAACAAATAATAAGCGACAGAAGTCATTGTCCACCACAGACACCCTGCTGCCATGAAAGTATCTTGGATGATAAAATAAAAAGTACAGTCATAATCTTTATTGTTAATTTGAACATGGATTGGAATATTTGATGAGTTTTGCCATTGTTTTATTGTAGTGTTGTTTTTGAAGAAAGACAATGTTATCTCTGGTACCCTTAGAGAAATATTATCCTTGTTGCTGGTGTTAGTGGTCTCAGAAAACGTCAGTGCCATTTGTTCTTTGGTAAAACACTCGGTAATATAAGCAATGGACAAAACCATGTAACAACTTGACATCCAGATCAAAATCCTTTCAGGGTACAAATACTGTTTCATGTCTGAGAAAAAAATGAAAATGGTGCATGATGTAGACAAAAAACACAAGACTGAATAAACTTTAATCCACGAAATAATATAAGTAATTTCAAAACACAATCTTCCACATCTTTTTATATTTTTTAAACCCATATGGACGTTTGGAGAAACCTCTGAAGTTTTAAAAACATCTTGCTTTTTCTTGTCAGGAATGAAAAAACTTCGAGGAAAAAAATCCATAATGGTTTTTAAAATGGTGCTGTTGTCTTCTATGGAATCAACAGGTGGTCCAATACACAAGCCAGATTTGGGGAAATTTTGACAGTTTAATTCGACCGGCCACGATAATCCATAAATGTCCAACAAATGACTGCAGTCCTTTTTCACCCTTGCACAAAGACGATGGCATGGTAGAATTGGTTCAGTTCGAAAAGGAAGATTACAAATCGGTAGGTACAAAGAACAGAGGAATCTTCTTAAATCCGAACTGCAGTCGAAATCTAGAAGTAACTGAAATTGTTTCAATGACAAACTCGCTTGATATTGATTTCTATCTTTAAAAATGTTTGGTAGAAAAGTTTTTACGTAACCAACGCCATTTTTACAAATTGGAATTTCTATCGTTTCACATTTGGTCTGAGACTTTGATTCTTGTAATTTTAAACCGTGTTTTCCTAGATAAAAAATGTTATTAAATTCGTATGGAGCAACAGAAGTTTTGATGGTAGGATATGCGTGGATACAAAGGTAAATAAAACAATTCATTAACGTTATCTTAACGATAGAGTGAATGTTACGAAAATTCGCCATAATTACCGCAAAAAAAGTAAAAATAAAAATCGGTTGCTTGTTTTTGTTTATGGTAAAGCCTCAAAACTTTTAATTTTTATTTTATGAAACAATTTTAATGTAAGAAATTTTCATTAATTTATAATTATCAGGTCATTGTTTCAATAAAAATAAATTTAAAATAAAGGTATTCCCCCGATAGCTTCGTCAGTTCTGGACGTTTGTCATCACCGAATTTTTTTTTTTTTTAATTATTTCTTAGCAAACAATGAAATAAATAAAAGATGAAACTTTTGTCACAAATTCGTAATTTTCAGCTACTTTTGTGAATTGTTATAGATATTTCTCGTTTCTTTAATCGTTCGTTAGAATCTCTGTTTTTTTTTTTTGTTTTTTTTTACTCTGCATAGCAAATTGCTTTAGGTTTTTTTTTTTTGTTTTTTTTTTCAGTCATAACCAGTATGGTAATATTTCCCTGACACTTTCGCCGGGCAAGTTTGAAAATAATCAAGTTCAAGTACTTCGGAAGGGGATTGGGGTCATTACCCGACTTCCCCAAAAGGGGAAGCGCCGAGGCTGCTTGAGCAATTTTATTACGGTCATGCCGTTGGTTAAACTAACTAACATTAAATTTTGGCCTCGTGTCACATTCAATAGCGACGTGTGCACATTGAAAAATCCACATGATTAGCATGTATTCTAGGATGAATATGTTAGTCACAAGACAGTGAAAACACTGATTTGTAACCCTAGGGAAAAAGCCTAAACCAAAACGAAACGATTGATGTTCATTGTTCATTCCTGCATATCATAAAAAAAAAACCTGGATTTATGGAAGAACCAGTACGTTGTTTTGCTTCTGAATTGAATACAAATTTTGAGACCAGTTGGTCTGTTACGGCATCGGACGGATTTTTAAAACATTGTCGTAAGTGAAGTCGATTTATTTAACAGTTTCATCGTTTATTCCTACTTAAAAAATAATTTTGGAAAAGACTGAAAAGTGAAAATAATAGAAAAAACTCTGATCGTCAAAAACAGAATATTCTGACTTTGAGATAAAAACAATTTTTTTTCTACGAGTATTTTTCCTACTTCTATAAAAAAAAAAAGGAAAAAGACATTTTTTTTTTTTTTTGGGACCCCTATACAATTTTCGAGAAAATGAAAATTTGAAAGAAGCGAGCAAAATGGCCTTTGAAAGTTGAGGGTTCCAATGAAAATGAACGTATGATCCCAAAATAGACCCAATCTGTGTGTCTGCTGATAATAAAAGTTTCACTTTTTATGCAAATACTTCTGCTAGTTTTAGTGTGGAAATCTAAAACGAAAAAGTTTATTTCATCGAGTTAAAAACGAACATTTAGTAAGGATCTAGTTTAGCATCCATTACTGAGTAAAAAATCGAATCCCCCCCTCCCAAAAAAAACTTAATCTTCCCAAAGAAATCAAGGACACTTCAAATAACAAATACAAGAAAATATGTTGTTTTCTTATGCACATTTTATTTGGGACACATACTAATTAGCATATTGACTATTGATTGAGGATACTGGTTCAACTTAATTCATAAAATTATTTACTTAAATGAGAATACCAATCCAAATAATTAGTAACTGATAGGCCAGTCACTAGAGTGGCTTGAGGTGGTGGTGGTGGGGGACTTTAAGTCAGTGGCGTTGTGAGTAAAACTTTATAGTACACACTACTAAAATCAGTTTTTTACATCATTTTCACATGAGGTGGGGGTGGCACATGTTCTGATGTTATCAAATTGGTGACAGGTCTAGCATATAGAATCAGATTTGCAATTTGCATAATATTGGATATGTGCTGACCATTGTCCTCTTCTTTGTTGTTGTTATATTACGTTTCAGCCATTGTGCACTCCCGCATGCAATATCTCTAAACATGGTTCCTGAACATTATTTACATTATTCGGACTAGTGTCCTGATCTTTATCGCTATATTTATCTCAAGGACACATGGCATAGTGGATAAAGGCGCTGGTTAGATCCAGTGACAGGACCCAAAGAGTGTGAGTTCAATACTAGGTTAAGGCAGTGGAGAACTTTCAGAGGGAAATTAGCAGGAGATAACTGATAGCTGATAACTGACATCCATCTAAGTTGTTTAAGTCTCTAGCTTATATGGAGTCCTGCTTTTGGCATGGAATTAAC